TCAAGTTGCCAATTGCATTATATGTCGCCCTCTGGTGGGCATATTATGTCAACACAGTTATGTTCCACACACTCATTTACTCTCCTCAACTCTATGCGCTTACATTTCTACTGAAAACATTTATAAAGCCAGTCATTCACATAATCCGGAGAAGTTCATTCCTTCAAAACTGATTCAGTCAGAATTCTTGCTCTTCATAATGACCTGTAAGTAAGGAAAAATGTTTTCACTGTCTGTCAGCTTCTTCTTAATATGAGCAAAATCTAACCCAAAGATGTAACAATCATTAGCACCCCTTGATATACTGATGAACAAAGTCTAACATATACACCCTTAGCAAAAAGCACTCTATATCACCAAAGAATGCTCCTTTGACGTTTGGTACTATGTAGAATAATTGTTTTAAAAAGTTAAATAACCACATGCACCGATCAGGCATAACATTATGACCACTTCCTTGTTTCTACTCTCATTGTCCATTTTATCAGCTCCACTTACTATATAGGTGCATTTTGTAGTTGTACAATTACAGACTGTAGTCCATCTGTTTCTCTGCATGCTTTGTTAGCCCCTTTTACCCTGTTCTTCAGTGGTCAGGATCCACATGGACCCTCACAGAGCAGGTACTATTTGGGTGGTGGATCATTCTCAGCGCTGCAGTAACGCTGACGTGGTGGTGGTGTGTTAGTGTGTTGCGCTGGTCTGAGTGGATCAGACACAGCAGTGCTGCTGGAGTTTTTAAACACCTCAGTGTCGCTGCTGGACTAAGAATAGTCCACCAACCAAAAATATCCATCCAACAGTGTCCTGTGGGCAGCGTCCTGTGACCACTGATGAAGGACTAGATGATGACTAACACAAACTGCGCAGCAGCAGATGATTTATCGTCTCTGACTTTACATCTACAAGGTGGACTGACAAGGTAGGAGTGTCTAATAGAGTGGACAGTGAGTGGACACAGTGTTTAAAAACTCCAGCGGCACTGCTGTGTCTGATCCACTCAGACCAACGCAACACACACTAACACACCACCACCACGTCAGTGTTACTGCAGTGCTGAGAATGATCCACCACCCAAATAGTACCTGCTCTGTGAGGGTCCATAGGGGTCCTGACCACTGAAGAACAGGGTAAAAGGGGGCTAATAAAGTATGCAGAGAAACAGATGGACTACAGTCTGTAATTGTAGATCTACAAAGTGCACCTACATAGTAAGTGGAGCTGATAAAATGGACAATGAGTGTAGAAACAAGGAGGTGATCATGATGTTATGCCTAATCGGTGTACAGCAGTATATGTTGTATTTGGGATACTCGTATGCCTGTCAGTCAACAATGGAAGTTATGCTGGTCACTAGCGGAACCAGTATATGTTGTGTTTTGGATGCTGGTATGATGGTCAACCAGTGCAACCATGTTGGGTGACCAATTAAACCAGCAGGTCTTCCGTCATTGAGAAGAAGCATTTAACAATGCCACGAACCATTTAAGCATTCAAATGGTTCTTTGAGTTGGTTCATTAATACAACCCTTAAATAAACATTTGTTAAGAGTATATTTAAAGAAAAATAACTTTTTACTTAACCATCCAAAACCAGCATTAATTGTGTTTTGGATGCTGGTATGCTGGTCACCCAGCCCTAGACCAGCATAAACCAGCACAGACCAGCTTACAATTATTTTTCTCCTACATGAAAGCAATTAGCTGGGTGGTTAATCTTAGTGAAATAGCTTCTGTGCCCTTTTACTATTTTCTTTTTATTTTCTCATTTTAGGACAAATACATCCATGCCCTTTATTAACTTGAAACTGTAGCTTATATGTTCTACTGTGACTGTCTGCTAGCTAGCTAATTTAGTTAATGTAACCTAATGTTCAGTGTCAGCTAGTTGCTCAGCTTAGACTACAAATCTAGGTAAACCTTGAGCACTGAGTCATATTTCAAAACTGTTTATTGAGTATTACTTGAGTGATTGTCATGATTTGTGTGATAGTGATTAGTTTGATGTAATAAAGTTAATTATCACAGTGGTAGCAGTCCTCTTACTTAATTCAGTAGGCTATTCTCTCCACTCCATGCTTAACCCCTTTGTGGCCTGAACTCAGGAACAGAGTCCACTAGTGAGGACCAAGCAGGATCTGGAGAGATTTTGTAGGGTGGAATGAAAGCAAATCCTGTTGTATGCAGAAGCAGATGTAGTAATTCTGGGGTAAAGTACAGTAATGGGCCCCCCGGAAGCACATCAGCTCCCGAGTATACTGTCTACACTCCAACCGTAAAACCTACACTGCAAAAAATAATGGTAAAATGTTGGCAAGTGAAATCTTAAATCTAGTTGGTATATGTAGCTTCTCATTTTGAGATCGTTGTAAGAATTTTATATGATTATTTAATTTATATTTTACAATTATTTCATTTATTCCTAGCCGAGAGCTGATCAGAGCAAATTATCTTGGCAACAAAGAATTGTTCTGCTGGTTAGTTTGTTTGTTGTTCACTACCAATGTGAATCAGTCATGTGATGTTATTGATTAAGATGTTTCATACTCATGTTTCAGGATGCAGGTTCATTCACATTAATGACAGATTTGAGTTTCTTACTTATTTGAATGTGAACTGTCAAGCTGGAAATATCAGATCTGAGGGAAACTGGAATTGGACAATGAGGCCTGTAATGTGAATGCAGATAATTTGGTACTATTACACTGGAGATCGCTGAACTAACCTTAACTCTGCCATCATGTAGGGTCTGCTAAGCCTGTGCAGCACTCTGTTTTCCAGCTGGAACAAGACTAGGCAAGCCTAGTTTTACCAGATCGCAAGGCCACACACTCTCTCCTTTGCAACTTTTGGTAAATAACGCCAGTGGTATGGTAGTTACTCAAAAAATATTCAACAAGTAGTAATTTGTAATGGGATCACTTTACTTATTACCTCCAGGGAAAGGTAATTTCATATTTCTTTACATTTTAAAATTAAAAAATTACACTTTAAAATTACTTTACATCTATGTTACTTTCTAAACCCCAAACAAATGTGTATCTTAAATAAACAATCCCACAACATTTAAAAGGCATCATACCACCTCATAAGCTAAATCCAGTAAGAGAAAGTGAAAGGAAACTACCATTAGCTGGCTGCTGGGTGGAAAAAAAGGCTGACAAAGTGATCACTGAAACAACGAATGCAGTATTAACCACCATCCATTTAAAGTTCACTTAAATAGCAAGCAGTGGGGCTACTCTCCCCGTTTACTTCTGCGTCACTTAGTTTTCATGTGCTGTTTTAGACAAAAAGTTAAAAAGAAAGTTTCTCATTGATATTCAAATACTTTGTGTTTACAAATTTATACATTAAAATAACAAATGTCTGTCCCTAGTGATAAAACTCTGCTACTCTGCACTTAAAGTTGGCTTCTCTATGTGTTCTTTTTTCTTTCGTTTTTTACTCACAGCTCTCTCAGCTAATGCTGATTTAACATGCTCAATCAAACCTGACCAGGAGCCTCTAGAGCTTTCTCAGCTTGCGCTAAACTTTCTGTTGGTTTGCGTCAGCCCACAGCATAATATTTCAAGCAAGAACATACACCCAAATGAAAAGCAACAACCTTAGCCTTAGCTTATGTAACGCTGTGTAGCTTGAGAGGCCTTGGCCTCTAAAGCTGTGACGTTTAGCTTACCTAACACTTTTTGCTACGCTGCTTGCAAGCTAACGCTAGCTAAGTTACTTTTTCTTCTTCCACTGTGCTGTGTTTTTCTTCTTATATGGGACAAATGGGGGTTGGCAGGCCAACTGAGGGCTAGCTGCACTCCTTGTGCATTTCATCAAAGTTCATCAGTCTGTCGGTCAGTGAGCGAAAATTTCTCTTCTAGCAAAAACAAAGTTAGCTTTTGGAGTGAAGTGATATACTTTTTGCTTCCCTGCCTCTATTTCTATGCTGATATTCCCTTTCAACACTCAGAAAATCACACTGAAGAACCTCCTCTCCATAGCAAGAGGACAGCCAGCCACCAATGGCCCACTGGCAATATGCTCAGCATTTTCCAGGTGGTCTACTGGTCTCTGTGCCACTTTTCATCACTTGTTTTCCACTCATGGTCCAGTTGAATTATTTTTCCTTAATTTCTTTCTTTCATTATTATCCTTTTTAAATTAGTTTAGTAAATACATTTAATTTAGCACAGTGTTCAGCACAATAATTTTACATTAGATATAGTCATTATTTTTTTCTCTCAGTTGTTTGTAATATTAAGTTTATTTTCCAAAATAAAAGCATTTAAAATCTGTGTGAGGATATTAAAAACTAGTTAGACACGACAATAATCTTGGTGGTCCAAGACTGGACCAGCAGTGGCATAGAGTCAGTGGGGTGTCAACTTTTGCAAGACAGCAGACTGAAATATGCTAGCTATCTGTAGCAGATTGTTACTGACATTACGGGAAATAATCACTACAGTCGTAAAATAACAGCTATTTTGAAAATGCATTTACATTTCAGAATAGGTTATTTAACCTGTGTTTTCATGGGACGCTGCTCATGCCAAGACCGCCCGTGGTTATATGTGGCACATGTTTTGGAGAAAACAATGTACATTTTAAAAGGTTTGTTTGGTAATTGTACCTTAATAAAAGGTTGCATTTCATAACAGACTTTTTTTATTTGTTTCCCCTTTCCCAGGGTTCTCATCCTTTTGTCATAGACTTCTGCTGACAGTATTCAAAACATTTCACTTGGCAGTTCTAGGAAAAAGGATGCAACCGATGCCTTGGAATCCTGCTTTTTCAGATATGTGCCTCAGCGCTTATCAGAAAGTATTAAAAATGTGAACGAAATGCACAATTTAAGGAAACTGAAGCAGACCTTGTGTTATGACGCATGACTTCCTCTCAGCTAATTGCAAGGAAATAAAGGCCAGAGTAGATTTAGATGTCTAGACCTTCTCTTTATTCAGATAGATTGCAAAGTGACTTTATCTGTTTAGACTTACATTCCAGCTCTTTGGAGATAATCACAACACTGAGTCATTAGAGGAAAGCAGCAAGCAAGACATGCCTTTGTTTATTGACTGACCTCTGTGGCTTGGCCTGTTTGGGCCAATACACACAGGATCTTGATTTCACCCTCACACCCCTGTGCCCAGCTGCCAAAGCGACTCTGTGCTTTCCTGCAGGTGATGTCCAAAGGCAAACAGCTTTTAGAACCCATTTTCCCAGCTAATCAACTTTGGCCTTTGTTTGGGGACGTCAGTAATCAGACACAGTTTGTTGATCTGAAGCTTATTGCTATACACACAGATTTAAACTGTCTTCTGATTAGAGGAGAATGGAAGAATGGCTTGGTCTGCTTTTACACTTGCATAAACTCCTCTGTCTCTCAAAGCCTGGGGGAAGTTGTTCAGCAAGTGGCAAGTAATGGCATGAAGTAAAATACAAGGAAAAACCACCTGTATGTTTTCCAAACGGTCAGGTTTATCATAAAACAACATTGTTCTCACACGAAAGAGATGAGACTATAATAAACAAAAAGCACTCATTTCTGCGGCAGCAGCAACTGCAGTATGTTTAAATCAATGTAATTGTGAAATGTGAAAAAGGAAAGCAATTACATGCTTCTTCTTTTTTTTTCTAAATAACTTTCTTTTTGAACTATCATAAGCAAAGCCTGTCCTCCTGGATGATATATTGATAGCAATAAAATTTCCTGTAGAATTTCAATATAATTAATACTGTAAAACTTGTTTATGACAAACGCTATGTCTTGCTTTGAGATGTTTTTATCTTTGACACACAGAACAAAGTCATACATTGACTTAAACTTGATTCAAATGTGTGCATTATTTTCACACTGGCGGACAAATAGAATTAGTTTGAAACATTTTTTGATGTAATGATTACTGATAAACACAAAAAAGAAGGAAAAAGGCAACTAAGAGTGTCAATATTTTGTAACTTCCCCTCTATGTCATACTTTCATGACATTTATGAAGTCATCCAAAGGAACAGCTTCAGGCTTAAATGCTGTCCACAGTAGTTGGATCCAATAGTAGAAACAGACCACAACAGGATGACCACTGACCAGGCAGTGGATCATTCTCAGCACAGCAGTGACACTGACAGGGTAATGGTATAGAAGCGTGTGCATTGCTGGTACAAGTGTATTTGGTTCTGCTGGGTTTTTTACATACAGCAATGTCACTGCTAGGATGAGCCCACCCAGAAATGTCCACCCAAGTGTGGTTCCATAGTCAGAAACTGATCATTGAGGATGGGCTAGAGCATGTGTGAAGCTCCAGTCCTTGTGGGCCAAAACACTGTAGACTTCAGCACACTGCTTCATTAAACACACCTGATTCAGCTCATCAGCTAAATAGCAAGGCTTTCTTGAACTGCTTTTAGAGTGTTAGATGAGGGTAGACACAAATCTCTGCAGCACTTTAGCCCGGAAGGTACCCAGTTTGACATGGCTGGGCTAAAGGATGGATAAAAAACAACAACAACAAAGTTCTAAATGTGTAATTGGGATCAGTTGCAACCAACTTCTAAAACTGAACTTTGGAGGTGTTCACAAGACACATGGAAGTAAATTGAAGCTAGAAAACGGTAACATAAATTTTGTTTTATTTATATATATATATAAATATGGATATAATTTTTTTTTTATTAGTGTGGACATGATGTACATATTTTTAACAAATTAGTTTAATGCATCTCTTTTTGCAGTGCAGAAGCAATTCTTTCTACTTTCCAACTAATTACCACTGTCATGTATTATAAGTGTCTGTAAACTGGTCAAGAATGTAACATCGTCCAGATGAGTCCACCAGTAGTGATACAGCAACAAGCCTTCAACCAAAGCCACTGCTAGGTCACATAGCCAATGTGTTCCCATTTAATAGCTATAGAGTTTGATCAAAGGCCTTGAAGCTGCATTTTGGATGCTCAGATTGACCCTCTAGTCATGAAAAATGACCCACATCCGGTAGACGTTTAGCGTCACCACCAGCAAGTTCTTGATGGTAAAGAATACCAGCATTTGGTGGATGATGTCAAAATGGATCATGACTGTCAAGCGAACTAAAAGGAACGGGCCGTCCTGAATGAAGAGGGTCTCCACCACGGCCCATAAGTCTGTCCTGTGTCTGTTGAGGAAAGAGTCACCCTGGCTCTCACACTCATCATCAGCTTTCGAATTAACCACTGCAGACAGAAAATGGACAAAGCAGTTAAAAAAAATCAAAAGTCAACAAAAGTGCAAACAGCCAGTCAATGTAGGCACAACTGGAACTGGATTAGTTTTACAAGGTGAGGTTATGTAATGTCTTTTGTAAAGTATATGGCCAGCTGATTCATTCGGAATGAAGAATCTGTCTAATTTCATCAAATTACCACAGATAGTAAAGAGATAGTCCGGATGTTGACATCAGCGTTAAGATATGGACATCACACGCAAACTGCATTCCATTCCACAAACTGTGCCCTCTAGACTCCAGTCCTAGAAGTACACAGCACTGCAGACTTGAGCATTGTGTCTCTTTACACACATCTGATTCAAATCATCTGCTAAGTAGGAAGGCCTTCGTGAGTTGAACTCAGCATGTTAAAAGAGGGATAACATTAATCTCTGCAGAGCTGTGACCCAGAAGAAACCGAGTCTGACACCTCTGGTTTTGAAAGTCCTATAGCCTCTTTCTATAGGCCTGGTGGCCATTCTGTCAGAATGGAAATCAACTTGGATTTTAGTTTGTTACGATCAAATTAAATATTTTTTCTGTAACTCTGCTATCAGATGAACTAGGACACTATAGGATCTCTCTGTTGAGATGCTAGTGAGCAATGGGATGAAAGAGGAGGGGTAAGAATTCACACCTCTACACACAGGTGGACATGTGTAGATAAAACAGATGACATGGCTGCCGCTTCCTTCATATCATATATTGTGTACAACTGCTAAAAAAATACCATTTATACACAAAACACTTTTAGAAACACTTTTATATTGATTGCTTGCTCGCCTATGAAGATAAAATTTCAGAATATGTACACAAATTCTGTTAACATTCTTGAAGGAAAAATGCATTACAGGAGGAAATTGTATGGCTATTGTGAAAGGGAGTTAAAATGAATAGCATGTGTAGGGACCTACACTGTACTGCCAGAAGTATGTGAACACCCTTCCTAATTATTGAGCTTAGGTTTTTTTTTTTTTCACCCACACCCGTTGCTAAAAGATATATAAAATCAAGCACATAGCCAAAGACAAAGGCAATCTCCGTAGACAACCAGCAGTAGCGTGGGTCGTAATGAAGAGCTCAGTGACTTTAAATATGTCAAATGTCACTGTCATAGGATGCCACCTTTGCCACAAGCCTGCTAGACCTGCCCCAGTCAACTGTAAGTGCTAAATTTGTGAAATAGAAGTCTAGGAGCAACACTAGCTCAGCCCCAAAACAGTAAACCATGCAAACTCATGGAGTGGGGCTGCCCAGTGCTTAAACACGTACTGTGCAAAAATAGCCTATGCTCTGTTGCATCACTCACTACAGAGTTCTAAACTGCCTCTGGAAGCAACATCAACACCAGAACAGTGTGTCAGGACCTTCAGGACATGAGTTTTGATGCCTGATACAAGCCTAAGACCGCTATGTACAGTTCTAAGCGTTGGCTGGAGTTTTGTGAAGACTGCTGCCACAGGTCTCTAGAGCAGTGGAAACGTGTTCTCTGGAAGGATGAATTATGCTTCACTGTCTGGCACTCTGATGTACAAATCTGGGTTTGGCAGATGCTAGAAGAAGACTACTTACTGGAATGCATAGTGCCAGCAGTAAAGTTTGGTGGAAGAGGGATAATGATCTGAGGCTGTTTTTCAGGGTTTGGGCCCCTGAGTTCCAGTGAAGGGTAATGTAAATGCTACAGCATACAAAGATATTTTTGACAATTATTTGCTTCCAACTTTGTAGGAACAGTTTGGGGAAGGCCCTTTCCTGTTCCTGCATGTCTGTGCGCAAAGCCAGGACTGTAAAAACAGTTTAGTTTATGGTTATGAATAGTTTGGTGTGGAGGAACTGCACAGAGCCCTGACCTCAACCCCACTGAACACCTCTGGGATAAATTGGAATGTCGATTGAGTGGAGGAAGTTATAGTCATGAGGAAGGGGCCATATTTATTGCCCATTGTTTTGTTGTTTTTAAATGGGATGTCCAACAAACTCACCTAGCGTGATGGTCAGGTGTACATACAATATCAGCATAAGACAATCATACCTTATGAGCAATATTTAATGGTATACATACCTGAGAGATGAAAGGGGAACTGTAGCATACTCCACGTCCACACAGCTAGAATAATGTACACCAACTGAGGGCTATTATCTCTGGTAATGTGAAAATACAAATTGGAAACAGCATGTTAGAGGTTACACTGGAAAGCTCTTCAATCTAATGTAAAAGCATGCTGGAAATGAAACATGGAAATAGCAAAAGAAATGGTCGAGCCAAGGCAGATCTGAGGGATAACAAAAGACCATTAGCTTGAAGGCTCTTTTTGCTGATTGATTTTGAATATGGCTTCATGGAAGGGAAGCCAATGCTGAATGACACTTGAATTAAGTTGTTTTTTTTTGGAACAAGGTTTGTTTTAGGTTATGAAAGCAAACTCCTATCACAGTACAAGTGTCATTCAGCATTGGCTTCCTTTACACAGGAGCGAACAGTGCATAGCAAAAACATCAGTAATATGTGGTCATATGCAGTAACAGCTCAATAAAAAATGTCCACTTTATAACAAATCTGAGCAGAAAACTGTGCATAAATACTACATATGAGAAGTGGAAAATTAATGCCAATGAATGCTAGAAAGAGTGTCATAAGCCTTTGTGCCTATGTCTATCTAGGGGTGGACAATCCAACACACTACAATATTTATTGTTGTCGAGATGAATGACATCAAAATACATGCATATCATCACTAACTGCATGTTTCATTATAAAGAGAGTACATTTGGACCTGTTTCACTGGATTTAGCGCTGGACAGTATGTGAATTGTTAAATAAAATGGGTGTACTTGTTTTTGATTGTTGAGTCGTTTTTTGTCTGTTCAAACTTATCAAAACCCAGAAAAAAGAAACATTGTGATTTATACTGTGTATTGTGAAAAAATGTCTTATGTCTCAAGTATTATGCCTCACCATCAAATGTGTTTTATCCTCTTTTAATCAAGGTTAACTCTTTAAAGTGAAAGAATGTGGGTCTTGGTTCACTACACTCACTCATATAACTACATAAATTACATATTAGTTTTATAGTAGTAACTGAATCATTTATAGTAGCTACTGAATAAAAGGCCAGTAGCTACTATAAAGGGATTAAGCATGATCAGCTAATACTACAGAGAGCACTGATTAGCTTATAGACTCTTTTAAATAAAGGTTTCTAGATAGATAGATAGATAGATAGATAGATAGATAGATAGATACTTTATTAATCCCGAAGGAAATTTAGCAATTTCTGAATTAATTTAAGTTTCTGAATGATTCTTGCCCTTTTGAAAAGTTTTTGGGGAATGAAGAGCGGTCCAAAGAACCCTTTTTGACACCTTTTTGAAGAGTGTTTGACTAAGGCTGGGTATTGAAATTCAGTACCTCTAGTACTGACCAAATCACATCTTCAGGGGCATTATGGGTGGAAATGGCATCCTAAAATGTCTTAGGTACACCTTAAAAATGGCCTTTCCATTCATGGATTTTTGTAATCAATCAATAAATGCTTAAACCTTTCGCGTTAAACATAATATGATATATCAAGTGCTGAAAGCTTGACTGTTTTTTCTTAGAAGCTAAGCTTTACCATACATCAAGGGGTCCCGACCTTAACTGAAAGAACATAAATTCTTTATGTTGTCAACAAAGGCACTTTTGACTGATTGTTGCAAATAAATCTAAGCCTCTCAAAATAACAATTCCATGCTCGGAGTGGCAAAAACCAAAAAATCCATCCGCATCCATAAAGCATGTGCAAAATAAATCCCAGAACAAAGAAATTCCCAGGCACACCGTCTTTAGAAAAGTATAAAAAGCCTTTATTGAAACATGGCAATATGTATAAAAATGTGCCAACGTTTTGCGGACTTCTCAGGCCTTCATCAGGACACAAAAAATGGCATCTTGTCTAGGCATCCAGCCTAGGCATTGTCATTACAGACCTTATCATTAATGCTTCCATTAAACAACTGGAAAATACAACAAAACCTGACTCTCTAAATGTTTAAAAACATCACTGAATTTGTTCATAAGTGTAACATCTTGTCTTGCTCTGTCCTTGTCTTTCTCTGTTTCAGCCTTTCTTGTTTCCCTGTGCAATGTGCTTTTGTTTACATCTAGCCCCACCCTCTTATTAGTCTCAGGTATTCCTTGCCTTCTGTGTTAATTTATATACCCCTTTGTTTCCTTTGTTCCCCAGCCAGCATTGTTGGATGTTCTATGTTGATGTTTGTGTTCATGGGTCCCTGCCTATGGTTTCTCTGCTCGTGTTTTGTTTGTATGAGTTTTGGCTTAGAATTTCATTGTTTTCATCGTCTGTTTATGTTCATCTGAGTTCCCTGTGTCCCTGTGTGGATACTCTGGATATTCCACGTAAAGACACTCGCACTTGTACTCCACTTCCTTTTTTGCCTCGCCAGGCCAGGCGTTACAATAAGCTAAGAGGAATAGACGTTTTTAAATTATAACTAACACCACTTTAAAAAGAAGAAAAACATCTAAAAGTTTGTTGAAACTTCCATTAACAAACATAACATGCAGGATCCCAAACAAGCTATCTGACAAAGCAAATCATTAAATGACAACTAATATTGTATCAGAAATACTCAACTACCTCATTCATTACGTGATCTCGACCAGTGATTTTCAACGTGTGGGCCATGGTGGGACTGCTAGAGGGCTGTTGGCAGTCATTTGTCAGTCAATTTTTTTATTTTCGACTTTAATAACAAAATATATAGAAATTTAACCAAATATTATTGTTGTGATACTTATTCACTAAAATAAAACATCTTATTAAGATCAAGCTCGCGGATTGGTCTGGCAAAATATTTTTGTTCATTACGTTGCATGACTGTACAGTCAAGAGAAATTCCCCAGGCTACAGTGTTTGGGTTAATTAGGGTTAGAGTGGGCTAGTTAAATCTTCTTGTGGGCCACTGAAGCTGATCAGTGTGGGCAAATGGTTGGGAACCTCTGATCTAGACTATCAAAAATGTGTGTAAACTTTTGCATTAGTTTACGTTTACATTTAAGTACTTGCGCAAAGAACGGCTGATGTTAGCAGGCTAGTTAGCTGAGTCTCATTACGTCATTACGCTACTTTATATTAACATGCTAAATTATCGCGGGCATTTTAAACTGAGCCCACTAACTGAAATTTTAATAAACATGTGAATCATCAAATAATACTACCTTTATTGAGTAGGTAGCTAGATATGGAAATGAATGCCATCAAAGTATGAAGAAAATTAGAAAGCGGAACACCACTTTTTTTCCCGAATGTGGAGCTTTTTGGATGCGTTCACATTCCAAACACAGGCCTATAGGTTGAACTTGAGGTTGAGTTCACCAGACTTTTTACTTCAGGCACACACTTTAGAACTATATGTGGTTTCCCCATAAAATTAGTTACTTAGGTTTTTTAGATCTTGGAACAAGGTTCATTTGCATTCCGGACCATTTTTCCTCTTGCTGAGCATCAAAACATTCTCTCATTTAACATCAAATTTCAGTACCACAGCAGTCAGTCTATCAACATCCTTGGGGCAGAGGCACGTTCAATCTCAAAACATTGTACAGTTTCCTAGTTAAACAACATGTTTCATCAAAATGGTGTGCAACTGGCTTTGAGGTACGTTTTCTCTCATTTGATGGGCGAGTCAGAGGTGTTTCCTAAACAGCAACGACTTGTATATAAACCATGCCATATTAAAGAGGCAGTGCACATAATGGATTCTAATATGCGGCAGCTGCAGCATGCAACAGTGGAACATGTAAAAAGATGTCCTTTGAAGTATTAAACCTGTATTTAAATCCATTTCATCAGGATCTGAAAATTCTTCGAAAAGAATGCCAAGAATGGCTTTATCAGCTGCCATAGTTGCAATGCTTGGGTAACACAACAGAGTGTTCAACGCACCACCATTTCCATTTGAATAAACATTTTGCCATGTTTTGCCAGGGCTAAACGCAGCCTAGGTATGCTTATTCCAAAATCAAGCTCCTGATTGGCTGTCTACATTACATTCTGTAAGCAGATTATTAACATCAGTGTTTGTTGATTAGTATATAATTCCATTGTGGTCGGTAAATACACCCACTTCCAGCTCATCACACTCAACTATGGTTAAGCCAGGCCCACTTTCAGATTACAATTAACAACAGGTAAAAGTGATTTTCAGGAACCTGTATTGAGTAATGCTTTGGGTATCGATACAACAAAAAATAACAATACCCAGCCCCTATCTATGACAACATGTGGAGAAAATGAAAAAACGATATGGAACTCACTTCACGTCGGACAGTGTCTCGCTTGTGAACTCCAGGATGTCAGCAGCTGTGCCCACGAAGATGAGCAACAGCTGGGAAAGTTCGTCCCGGGTGACCCCCTCTCCAATGGGCATCAGCCACTTCCCCACGATCAGCAGGATGAGCAGGATCTGGTGCAAAGCCAGGATCCAGTCGTTGGCGCATACGGATGACAAAAACTTTGCTGAGTCTTTAAAGAACTTCAGGAGAATGAGAAGGATCGTTACACATTGGAAAAAAATAATCTTGGCAAAAAAGTGAAAAAAGAATCTCGGCAAAGGGTTCTAATTTAGAACCATATACAACACATTCTTCAATCAGTCAGAGGCAGTTTAGCAACTTTTTTACTATCTATACTACAGTTTACTATCTATACGTACATTTAAGATGCTATACCGAAAAAAAAAGGGCAGATCTTGTTCATGGCTGGACCTCAGTATTGGAAACAGGGCTGAGGTCTGAATTACATTAGCAAAGCATCCCCTAAAGGCCTCTATTAATTCCTAGCTAAAAGTGGGCCCTAAAAGAAAACTAACAGAAGTTGGCAGCATGGTACGTAAGACCAGTAGTCCACAAGTAAGAATAAGAAAGCCTGTGTGAGTCTGAGGCCAGTGTTTTTATTGAAGGGTGGGGGACTGAAATTTTCATTTACAAGTAAACCACGTCTGCAGACTTTCAGGCAAAGAAGCATAAATAAACATTGTTGCTGTAGCTTATAAAAGACCCTCAGAGTTACAGGAGCGAATGCAAAGACTTTCTGTCTAGACAGGGCTGTGGAAAATGTATATAAAGGCAGAAAACAAAAGAATGAAGGAAACAGTGTACCTTATAAGCTTCAGTTCCATTGGTCATATTCCTCATGTTATTAAATATATTTTTGATGCTCTCAGGAGAATCAAGTTTACCACACTGAAATAAGGCCAAAGGCAAAAGGTCAGAATCAAAAGCTAAACAATGAAAACACTATATATCACTTGACTGAACTTGGTATATTATGGCTGCTTTTTCTGTGTTGTGTGGTACCTTAGCATTACTGGATTTGTTCTGCTGATGATGCAGCTCAAGGATCCAAATGGTGGGTATAATACTAAGGAGGAAGAGGAAAATTGCCGGAGAGAACCTGCAGGGGACCAAGTCACACAAAGTTTAATTTTCATCCACCAGCACATCCCCTTTCATTAGTTTATTCAACCCAAAACAGCATTTCTAGCAACGTAATGCTGTAGTTATTTGATTTGTTGTAAAACTGAAGGGAAAATTTCAATTTTTTTTCAAAATATCTATTATAGATGTAAACATGGTCATTTGTGGTGTGAAGTGCGTAATTTTAGAGAAACTCACTGATATATATATATGTATATATATGTATATGTGTATTCTACACTCTTTGTTCATTTTATCAGCTCTACATACTATGTTAGTTCTTCAATGGTCAAGACCCCCACAGGACCACCACAGAGCAAGTACTATATGGGTGGTGAATTACCTCAGGTACTGGAACAAACATTGGGTCTCATTCTCCAATATCTTAAGTTATATATAATAAATTTGTTCTTAAATGTGTTCTTGAGAAAGTTCCTTAGAAAAAGTCAGATTCATGGTGTTCTCTTGCACTGCACCATTGTTCATACCTTTGTGCTCTTGAGTGTGTGTAGATTCTGTTCTCACCTAAGAACTAATCCTAAATAAGAAAACTTTGGTGAATGTCAGAATCTTTGTGAAAACTATGTAAGTGGGTTTTAAAAAGAAATTTTGTCTAAGAACTGTTGGTAAATGAGGCTCATTCTTTTCATTTTACATTTTAAGCACGATTACTGTATTATTTTTATGTACAATTTTAGAGTGAAAAGGGGAAAGGAGCACTATGCAAATATATGGATCTCAGACCTTAATTAGCTTAATAGGGCTATGGGTGGTCACAATCATCATTAGGAAAGGCCAGGTGATGCAAATTTTCAAAGCTTTACAGATACTCTCACTCCCCAAACCTTCTCCCAACATCAGCAGCCATGGATTCCTCTAAGCAGGTGCCTAGCACACTGAAAACTAAAATAACTGATAGCAACATAGCAGGAGAAGGCTATTAGAAGACGGCAAAGCCGTTTCCTCAGTTTGTAAACAAGAAATGGCAGTTAAGAGGAACGGTAGAGGTCAAGAAAACTTTCCGAGAGAACTGCTCGTGGGATTTCTAGAAAGGCAAATCAGAACCCTTGTTTGACTGCAAAAGACTTTCAGGAGCACTCAGCAGACTCTGGAGTGGTGGTGTACTGCTCTAATGTGCAGCGACACTTGCACAAATATGACCTTCATGGACGAGTCAACAGAAAAAAACTTTCTTGAGCCCTCAACACAAAATTCAGCATCAGAAGTTTGCAATGGAACATCTAAACAAGCCTGATGCATGTTGGAAACCAGTCCTGTGGACTGACGAATTTAAAATAGAACTTTTTTTACTGTCACCACAATGAGCAAAAAAGGGTGCAGAATTTCATGAAAGGAAACACCTCCCTCACTGTAAAGCTCAGGGGTGGATCAATCATGCTTTGGGCTTCTGTTCCAGCCAGTGGCATGGGGAACATTTCACTGGCAGAGGGAAGAATGGATTCAATTAAATACCAGCAAATTCTAGAAGCAAACAGTACATTGCCTGTAAAAAAGCTGATGATGAAATGAGGATGGCTTCTACAACAGGATAATGGTCCTAAACACACCTTAAAATCCACAACAGACTACCTCAACAGGTGCAAAACTGAAGGTTTTGCCATGACCCTCACAGTCCCCCACCTTAAACACAGTTAGACCTCAAAAGAGCAGTGCATACAAGATGGCCCAAGGATCAGAATGGGTGTTGTTGAAACTGTAAAAGATGGAAATAAAAACAATCTTGCTCAATGTGTCATCTTTAACTTTATGTCTTTTGGAAATCAGGTCATCTTTTAGTTGCTCAGCTATTCACAGTAATGGAAATTCTGACCAGGGTTGCCACTGTATATGTTACATTATTTGAAAATGCCATCTGTCCTTTACATTGTGTGAAAAATTTCATGATGGACCAAAAATTACTTAGAATACTTGTTATATTAACTTCCATTCCAGGTTCAAGTGTTTTTAATTTATCCTGTACTTTTTAGAGATATGAGGTTACATATAAAGGTTTTTAAAGTTATATTTAAAATTCTTGTAGTTGTGTTTTGAATAGCAATAAAAAAAATGGCTATAAATATGGCTATGCCACAACTCTTGGTTCTCATTGCCACCATGAGTTGGTAAGGTTCTCTACAGTGAACCTTTTCACATCAAACCGTAATTTAAATGACTTAATTTACACCATAACCATTCACTTATACTCTTACAGCAATCTAAAAACCTTAATTAAAGGTTTAATAGCTCTATTGTCACCATAACTGTTTAGTAATGTAATTAAAGTCCATCACAAAGCTTATTGGCTCATAGTGCACTTACAAAGTCTATTATGAGTTGTGCAAATGAACACTATATGTATATTATACAGTGTTAATATGTTATTTACTAAATGGCATAGGTTTCATGTGATTGTGCCTGAGAAACATACTTCCGAACTGTCCTTACTAACAAACATGACGTGTATGGTTTCACATTACAAAAGCTATTTTAAATAAGTCCTTTCTACTGGAAGAAAGTGCCCCTCACCAGACAAAGAGATTTACTCACCACTTGTAGTCCTTCCCTTTTCTCCTCCTCAGAGTTAAAATCATTTCAAACACGAGGGGCAGATACAGGATGGTCAGAAACCAGTAGAGGTCATTATTTTTCACCTTTGTTACCCTCCACACGCCAATGAGTGAGATCAAGATGAACAGTGCTCTAGTGACCACGGCGCAGATAAACTTTATGAGCATGGCTGACTGGACCAGGCAGCTGCAGTGACCCCTCTGCACAGCTCCAGATTACTCTGAGCTGAAGAAAGTGCTTCGGTTTTCTCCCACTCTAACCTAGTGGCGGGCGGGATGATGTGCCATTTGACACCTTTTCCCTCTGCGTTTAGGCCCAGTTCCAAGGAATGGCCCCCTCTCTCCTGGGAATCCAAACAGCACGCCCTGCAAAACTTGATGAAACAAGTCGTTCTGCTTGATTTGAGGGGTGGACTTCAAAGCTTAGCATGTTGATGATAAATACGCATGTTATCATGGAAATGCGCCCAAAACAGCTGTGTAGGTCATTCACAGACAGAAAAATGGTTCTCACATCTGGGCTGTAGTTATGCTCCAGCTGTTATTATAAAAGGATTATAATTATAAAATGAATAATAATAATAAAAAAACACCACAAAAAATATACACATAACAGTACAAACATATGTTACCGTTTGCTAGGGGGATTTACATAACTACACAATAATACCGAAGTATATACATGCTTTGTTTATTTTTTCAATTTTCTCCCCAATTTACTCGTGTCCAATTCCACCCATTAGTTAGGACTCCCCCAGTCACACAATACCACCAGCGCTAGTTTGGTGAAAGCTAGCACAGGCTTCCTCCAAGACCTGTGAAGCACCACCGCATCTTTTTGAATTGCGGCTAACGCAACGTCATTGGACAGCTGAACGCGCTTGGAGGAGAACACTAATCACCAATTCTGTTACATTAGCCAACAGGCACCTGCACTGGCTAGCATCGCGCTTGGTGATGGGAGGAGATGGGGGGGTCATCCTACCCACTCAGAGAGAGCGAGGTCAATTGTGCTGTCTTGGGCTCCCGGCCACGTATGGCTGTAGCTTCACCAGGGATCAAACTCACGCTCTCCTGATGATAGGGCCAACACAGTCGCGCCACTCGGAAGCCCCGTACAAATGTGCTTTAACAGTTTTTATAGCTTTTTAAAGAAGGCTGGATCAATTCAGTACAATGCTCCGTGTGTTTTTCAAAGGTAACAAATAGTGGGTTCTATACCATGGGTTCTATATAGAACCATTTCATCCTTCAAGGGTTCTTTGCATGGTGAAATGGTTCTACTTTTTTCAAGCTTGACATTGTAAAGCTTTAGTAAAGACAATAGTTCTATATAGAAGCAAGAACACTCAAAGAAACATTTGCTTGCTTAAATGGTTCTTTGCATGGTAAAATCATTCTTCAGATTGATGGAGAATTTGTTGTGTATGGTTCTATATAGCACCAAAAAGTGTCCCTGCTATTGTGACAATGCCAAGCCTGTAACAACAGGAGAACCATTTTGGTGCTACATAGAACCCTTTTCAAAAAGGTTCTTTACAGAACCATCTACAGCACATTCTCCATCAATCTGAAGAACCACTACATAATGCAAAGAACCCTTAATCATGCAAAGGGTTGTTTGAGTGTTCATGGTTCTATACTAACCATGGTTCTATTCTAACCATTTTCTTTACTAAAGAACCCCTAAAAAACCATCTGTTTTAAGAGTGTAGCATGTGTGAATCAGTCTTTTGTCTTCTTTAGGAAGGCGCTGCCAGGAAGCGTTATCGGACATGCCAATCAACCAGCGTGGCCCCGCCTCTCCGTTACCCGGGCAACTGGAGTATCCAACATGTCCGGACCCGACAGAGCGACGGAGAGAGGAATTTCAACAGAAAACTCACAAACCGCCGCTGACAAGAAGGCTGTTTCTTTCCATGTATGTACATATGGCTAAGTTAATACAATACACCTTTAATTTACATTTACAGCTCACCAGAAATAATGGAGACATTACTTGAAACGTAACGTGGCTTAACGTTGTAAAATGACTTAAACCTCACTTCTCACACAGCTCATAAACACGTCAACTGACAAAAGACCAAATCTAATACAAAGACAAAGCGATAGGCTTTTTCTCTTACAATCAAAAAAACGCGAATAATAACGAGAAAACACCAAACATTCAGAGGTGAGTACATTTGCTCAGTTAAGTTACGTTTCCTCAAGCAAAACTGTGACAGGTTTTGAGCATTTTTACATTTTCGGCATAATTAAATAGGTAAGATGTAAACAAAGTCATTTAACTTGGTTTGGTGTGAAATGCTCGTTTCTCAAGAAACTTCTAGAAAAACAGTGGTGGTGATAGGAACCAGACGTTCACCTCTAAAAGCTCCTCACAGAAAGATATTACATTGATTTACGACAGCTTTGTGAAAAAGTTGTGGCCTAAACGTCTTGCTAATTCAGTTATTTTAGTCCAGTCATGATGGAGGAGCACATGCAGGGAGTTGTGAGGCTAAAAAGTCCTTCAAGAAAACATTTTTTTTCAGATTTTCCACTATTTTACTATCAATGGTGTTACATATAAAAAAGCAAAAACGTGTAGGTACTCTGGTGGTTTTGGATAGTAAGTAAAATGGCTGTATTTGTGTTGTGGGCATCGTGACCCCTGGTTCCTATCACCACCACTGTAAAGAAGTCTGAGTCTCTACAATGAACCATTTCACACCAAACCACTCAGAATGGCTTTACATCATGATAATGAAATTATGCAAACATTTTGAAATGATGATACTTTTACTTCTACTCAAGCATATTTGTGAGGGAAGTTATCTTCATTTCACTCAGTTACATTTTGGTTTTCAGTCATCAAAATGAGTTAGTACTTTTTGTGTTCCTTTTTTTGTAGTTACATTAGTAACAGCATCTGTACAAGCCAAAAAGAGAAGTCAAGTGAAAAGATACTTTTACTTGAGTGATTATTTCACAGAAATAATAATACTTTATATGAGCATGAGTTTAGGCTACCACCTCTTCAAATCTCTCATATACACTCCTGGTGAAAACAAATGAGCTCATAATGGTAAAACATTAAGCTTTTAATGGTCTTAATAACAAGTGATTAAACAAATAGATGAAGTAAATTAGTATGGGATAGCTTTTCCCTTTGATTTCTTTAAATGTTTAAGTTTTGTGTCACTGGACTTCGAGGCCATAAGACCATGTGCTAACATTGTACGGACAAAAAACATGATATAACTTCAGAGCAAACAGCGACACAGCGAGTACTGTAAGTAATGTTAGCTAGGTTGTGGGTCAGCAAACGCTACATTTGCTGCTGCGAAGCTAACCAGTTGCTTTCACACACATTAGAAAACAGGACAAAACAATACTCACCTATTGGTTCTGTGTAACAGCAAAAATAAGTTAATGTTGTCCACCTGTCAAACAGAAACAGAGTGACCCCCTTATCCCTTTTCATGCAGTTCAGCTCTGGTTTATCTTATCTGAGAACTACAATAAAACAGTATCTCAGACTTCAGGCACAGCACTCATAACCATTTCATGTTAAAACTTTTTGTGAGCTGCTAAATAGGTTAATATGGAGCATTTGAGGAACATCTACTGCTGTGTCTGAAACTGTGCCCTATTCACAATACAGCACACTATTTTGGAGTTCCACCGTTTTGTAGTGGCATCCGACAACATAATGCAGAAGATCCAGTGCACTCAAACAACCCCACAGTGTACCGCAATAAGTAGTGTATAACAGATGTTCCCTAGCAGACAGGGATACCCATAATGCATTGCGTTGTTTGGTTTGAAGATTCACATGCAACTTCTCTGAGGAGAAGTTCTCTTCTCATGTGTGCAGTCAAACTCAGCAGTTATTCTGAACTGGTGAATTGGCGTCTATAGTGCTTATGTGATGGAATCTGCTGTCACACAGTAATGAGTAATAGTGTCCGAAATCGTTTACTACAGTGTGCAACTGAATTGCACTATTGTACTGAACTATTTTAAATTCTCAAAGAAAAGAGTTTTTGATATTTTATATGGAAGTGATGTAAGGAAAGTACTTGTTTACAAAATAAGCACCGTATTTCTTCATATTTCTGTAAGTAAAATAAAGTGCTCTCAAACTTATTTTGATAGAACACCCAGTAGCACTCTGTGACTCTAAACTAGGCCTGGGTGATATCAAAAAATAATTAGCGTGATATCTTCTTAGTGCCAAAAAATTGGGATTATTGATTATTAACATGGCATGCTGCACAAAAGATGCACATGTGAGCAAGAATTTGTATAATTGAGCAAGAATTTATATAATTTAATGCGGAGATAATTCAGGATAATGGGACACATTTGTGAGGCTTGGTTGAATTTGCAGCAATTTGAATTCTAGAATATGTAGCTTTTCTGCAGGTCCACTTGTGCATCTACCAAAAAGTGTCTCCCTTTTGCACTGTAAAACCTGATGAGTTGATTTAAATGGTTTGAGGAAAGTTTAAGTAACTCAAATCATTTGACCATAAATAATTCCCTGAATTGAGTATGAACAAAACATATGACTATTGTTGAATCCACTTAAGTACACTTAAATACACTTAATACACCTAAAAAAATTCATAGCTCATTCATTCATTCTAACTACATTCATTTTGTTGATAGTAAAATGATTGAGTATATTATATGTAATAGTTGTACTAACTTAATATAGTTAAGTGATTGTCAATAAATTCACTGCTAGGCTAAACTACACTATCATTGCAATAAGTTCATATTTTATTGCAGAAACCTAATGATAGACATTGATAACAATGTTAAATCAACTTAATATTATTCTGGACCATCTTGATGACAGTTTAGTCCAGAGTGCAGAAATAGTGTCTACAGCATTTAGCTACCACAGAACCACACTCAGCAGGTGGGAACTTGATAACTCAGCTCTCTCAACGTTCATTCACTGATTGAGATGAATTATAAGAATTTAGAAGACAAGTAGGCACCCAAGGGAATGTAAGCTAAGGAGAATGACAACACACAGATGGCAGGGTAAACAAGGTGGGAAGACACACCCGCTATGCAAATATATGGTACAGAGAGCCAATAGGAATGATGTAGGTTTTACTCAAGAAGATTGCATTGACCGAACATTTATCAAGCAAAGCTCAGAAGTCTAAATTAAATTGCAGTAAGTTGATTTAGCTCAAAGATCCTGTTTGAATTTCTGAAATTGTCAAAATAAAGTTATGAGAAAAGCATGAAAAGTCAAAATTATTTAAATGTAAACATTATGCAGTCTGTCAGATAAATTCACTGATACAGAATACTCCAACAGCTCAACCACTGAATCAACTGATGTTTTAGCTAAAAACATTAGAACATATTCCACTTTTGCTGAGGTGTCCAGCTACTCTTGATAGGCATCAAGACTGTTTCATGTGCTTGGCAACCATTACTATTAACATAGATAATTCTGAATAGGCTAAAACTAGGACTAATACATGGAGAGAACAGCTTGTCAGTCATTACAAGTGCATATATAGTTAGAAAAGGGGAGAACAATCCAGCCACACTAACAACATATTATTGGTGTGTTTGTATTTGCATGTAAAGTCAACTTAAATAAAAATAGTCAATATAAACATTTAAATAAAGTTACCTTAACTGAAAATATGCTAAAAAAGCAACATGCTCAACATGACTTACTATCTCAACAATTCATTTTTGAGTTAGTTTGAATTTTTCAGATTAAGTTATTCCAATTTTCTGTAGTATTTAAGGTAAGGTCACCTAATTCCAAACTTGGAAGTGCTATATTTGTTAGTTTGAGCATTTGTTGTTGTAATTAGGCTTAATTGTGAATTAGACAGGTTCAGAGTGGTAACAGAGTGTTGTTGTTTGTGCTTTGTGTTAAAGGAAAATGAAACTGCTGAGATATTTCTTCAGTGGACACTTCTACCGCTGGACCACATGAATGCACTTTTGGACCTCTCTGTGGACCAAGTCCAGCTGTAAGTAAGCCAATATAAAGCAGTTGCTCATTATCAAGTCCTGGCCTTACAGTCTACAGTGAGTGTAAGCTGCAGGGTAAGTGTGTGATGTGATGCCAACATGAACTTTAGGCTGTTCATGCGTTCATTAATCCATTCATTTATTTTTCTCACCATCTGGTTAAGTGGGGTCAAGTGAGAACACTCTCAGTAGACTATTCATCCTGTGTTTGACAGAACTAAACCTGTCCCCTCAACCTTTATTATTTCAGTGGAATTTCTCAGTTGTTTTTTTTCCTCTCTCCTTCAGGCGGTTTGAGGATATGCTTGGTTTGAAAAAACATCAGACGTGTTTGAATGAGGCAGCCCTGTTGGACTACTTTGTTGCAGGATTTTGGTGGGCCAAAGAGATGAACTTCACCTGTCAGCAAATCTCATTTATCATGGCCCTTTTACAACTGTTACTTGACAACATAAAAGGTACCAAGATTAGTTTGATTAATTTGAAATTCTTTTTTTTCTATGTCCAGTGAACTGACCATTTGCAAAAACTTCCACGTCCTGTAATTACTGTTGCTATGTCTGTCACATGTTCAGCTGTAGGCCTTAGACTCCCCTGGTAGCATGTGTACACTTGTGCTAAAAAACTAAAAAGTTTAAAAATAGTCAAATTTAGAAGTACATAGAGGAGTACATCTGAGAACTGAGAAAGCATAAATGTAGGCTGATTTAAAGGACCCATATCCTACATATGTATTTTATTTTTTTCCCTTTCCCACTTTGTATGGTTTTATGTACAAAACATGGTCATAATTCATTTTTACATTCACGACCTCTCTTTATCCCTAGAACTAAACAGGCTGTTTTTGTCAGTCTGCCTCTAAGAGTGAAGTGTGATAAATGAGCTCTGGTTGGCTGTCCTGTATTTTGGGATGAATTGGAACGTTAATTGTGAGCCAGGCCTTCTCATCCAACATCAGTGCCTGACCTCACAAACGCTATTTTAACTGAATGGGCACAAATTCCCAGAGATACGCTGCCCTACAGTAAGGTGTAAGACTTTTTTACAACTGCGATTCTTGCTCTAGGTTTATTCTGGGAGTTTTGTCTGAGGTTTTCCTTTGCTTGATGGAGGAAGCAGGCTTTTAAAGACGATTGCTAAGCAGAGAGCGGTTGAGTGTTGTGTCAATCATTATTTTGCAATTGATCAATTGCAGTATAAACTGATTATTTGAGAACATTGCACTCGGGTCAGTCATTATTTTGCACATGATCAATTGCAGTTTCAAATGCAGTATGAACTCAGGATGAGAACATTGCACCTGGTTTACTCTGTTTCAGACAAGCAGATGCCCTGTTCTGAAAATTTCAAGGTTTTTGCCAAGAAACTGCTCACTGCCAGAAAATCATCAGCAGACACTGTTAGTCCATTATTTGATTCAGATCAAATCAAATCCATTACGGATTACTTCAAGAGCAGGTAATTTTTCTATCTTAATTTCACCTTGTTTTATATAGCATTGCCCTGAACATGCGGTAATTATCTTTAAATTATGTGTTGGCATGATGAATATGAATGAGATCATTCTTTTTCTCTTCTAATGTTATTATCTTCTGTGAGATAGTCACTCTTTTGCCTATAGTCAACCAGCAACAACCAAATTGGATCCCTTTTATATCCTCCATAATTAATACTATGCATAATTCATAAACCAATGGATTGTGAAACATGTACGCTTCTGCTGTGCATAACAAGTTGTGCAGACAGCATCAGTCTTGAAAAGTCAAAAAAACACCCGCAATGAATGTCGGTACAATCAGTAAGAATGAATTGATTTCTCTGCTTGCTTGAAAGCCCCGGGAACCTGATTTTCTTTAGACCTTCGTCTGAAGCCCTCATTAGTGCCTGGGTCTTATTGGGTCATTCCTGCAGTCTCTTAATGCTTTCATTGTGCTCTGTGAAAATGGCCTGTTTGCTGCAGCAAGATGTAGAATATAGATGAGAGTAACACATCCAACACAAGCCAGTGCTGTGCTTGACTTCCTTTTATCACCATTAATCTTTTATATCTGATATGCTGTAGGCTACTCACTGACTTTGACTTTTAAATGGACCTAAAAATGTTGGTCTTGTATAGTTGTGACTAGTAGTGACTAATTTGTTTGGTTTGTCTACTGCTGTAGTTTTGGTAGTACTTTATATGGACATACATATGATGTTTTTAACATTGAATACCTAATAAATTAGATGAGATTTATGTTAAATGTTATATCTATCACAGATTCTTGATATTGTCTATAAAGTTTATGAACATCCAGAAAGCGCAAATACTGTAACTCTGTAAAGATTAGATTTGTCAAATTCCTTTAATGCCAGCCATATTTCCTGGATAGAAAATGGCAAGCAGTGAGTATTTCTCCCCTAATGACCTGATAAATATTAAAGAGGAAGTCCACACTTTCTTTTAAATGTCTGCAAAATTAAGATGTAGTTAAGATGTAAACAAAGTTATTCAGAGTAATTTGATGTGAAATGTTCTGGAGTAACAGAGTCGGAATTGTTCACAGTGGTGGTGAAACATTTAATGCCTGTTAAAGTTCCCTTAGAAAAGTAACAAAACATATGTATATATATATATATATATATATATATATATATATATTTTAAAAAACATATTCATGGCAGAGAAGTAGATTTTAGCATTTTCAACACTGCCTATAAAAAGATGTGTAGGTTCACTGGTTATTTTAGATAGATAATGAAGTGGCTTTATTTACGTTTTAAACATTGTGGCCGCTGGTTCCTATCACCACCACTGTAAAGAAAATCTGACTCAGCAAGTTCACATCAAAACACTCTCATTTTGATTAACGCTCAGTATTTGAGTTATACAGAAAAATGGGTGGAATTCCTCTTTATGTATGTGATGGAAAAGTGATTGAACTTTCACTTTGAATTTGACCTGAATATTTACAAACTACTGTAAAATATTCTACATTCTTTTAAATTAATTATTTTTTGTATATGGCAGAAAGCCTGACACCCAGTGGTCAAAAGCAGATCATGCAAGTGCACTCAAAACCTCAATTAACACTGGTGGTAACTCCTACCTGCACACAGCAGAAGGCCTACCTCATCACTTGTAGTAGTAGTTTCAGTGCTTCACCGTGTCATGTGCTTCAGTCTTTTCCAGCATTACAGACTGTACCAGTTCCTCTTCACTCAACCAAGAGATGAGGTGCTCCTTGGAATGGAGGTGATTATGAATGTAGTCCATTCATGTATTGTATCTCTACTTGTTGTCTATTTTTTTTTATAATAATTTGTAGATGCCAGCTGGCAATTTCATGATAAATGCACCAATAGATAGGGTCCAAAATCAAATCTTTATCCACTGACTTCCATTAAAAAATGTGAATGTTTTTTCCTTCTCCTGTAAAGTTGTTATTTTGGACATTTATACAAGGTTTTCTCCTGACAGCAATATCCTATTTATGTATTAGAATATAACTGTGTTTGTATGTGTGCAGATTTACAATACTACCATGATCATGGATTTGGTAAAGAAATCAGGGTCTGTAAGTTTTGCCATTTCACATCAAACCACTCTGAGTAACCTTTTTGTTTACATATCATCCTCTGATTATGCAGAAATTATGAAAAAAATGGAAAATCCCCTTTAATATGACCATCTAAATGTAGGCTATCATGGTAACTACTACTCTGCCACCCTACAGGAAGAAACACACAGTCATAGATATTCAGTCCAGTACTTTGGCCTAATAACAGTACCCATCTATAGTGACATGCCATCTCTAATTAGCATTTTACAAGGGATTGGAGAGAAAATCAGGCAGTTTGGTTAGCTAAGAAAAATCATCTGCTGTAATTTAAGCATCATATGAAAAATGAAGTTGGCTTTTTTCTTATTTCACCCCAGATCAAAAGCTTCAACTGAGTTTTCACATTTAAGAATAACTTTAATATTAAAATACTCTGAAAACCTGCTGTGAACATGAAAGAGCAAATCCAAGTCAGTTTTAATGCTTTCCATTAAGCTGTGTGTTTAACTGTAATTCATTTTCTTTTGACCCCTGCTGTGTTCCTGTTCGGGAAAATAGGTCAAAAAGCACTGTATTTCTTATAGACCTTAGGCTATTAAAAATCTGTTGATAAATAGCATAAAAACAGGCAGTGATCTTATTGGGACCAGCAGTGTCAAGTGGGAATTTAAGCATTTTCTGTAATTATACGCAAACAACTCATCGATATAATCAAATATCAAATAAGTTGCAAGATGATAGAGATTTGCATTGATAATTTCTAGATTTTTTTTTTCCATGAAGTAGAATTAGTTTGTAAGGTTTAGCCATGAGAGCGTACCTGTACCCTTTAAGCTTAGCTTTTAAATTATTGCTAATATATATGTATTAAAAAACCCAGAAGTAATGGTTTGTATATAATTATTCGGTCAATATAAAGCTGGAATGCTGTGTTTTAAATGACATTGATGATATTTTGAGTTTTTCTTTTTAAATGCTCCAGACTGTGGTTGTATAGCATAGTGGGTGACGGCCCTGCTCTCCACATAGCAGACTGTACACTCTCAGAAATAAAGATATGAAACTTTATTTTTAACAGAGTAGTTTGATTTCCCACATAGGAAAGAGTCCTTAGGCAAGACTCCAAATGCTACATTCACCTACCTCTGTAACAAGATTAAAATACTGTAAATTGCTCTTGATAAGAATATCTGCCAGATACCATAAATGTAAGGCTGTTGATCTTCTGATTTTAGCCACTCGCTCAAAGAAGCTGTCTTTTGAAACAGGAAGTAACATATCAAAATCTTGAGCAACACTGTCAAACAGGTAATTGATTGAGTCTTTAATCTTTATTTTTTTGTTAATGTTGTTAATATATACTTTATTTGTCCCATTCTAAAAAGTGTTTGAAACAAAACTTTATGTGGTAGTGTTCAGGACAGTCCATCTACATTTACACAAATACCTCAAAATATAAGAATTCTTTTGACTCAAAACTCAAAGCACCAATCAGAGAAAATGTTTGTTTCTGGATGAAATACCCAACAAGTAAAAAAAAATCATATTAAAAAACAAGTGGGTTATTTTTGCTTATTGGGAGCATTTCATCTAGCTCTTTTCATTCTGAATTTATTTTTATCTGTTGCTAGTATATTATTGTGTGGGATTCTGCTGATCTTTTCAACATTTCTGCATAATTCAGTGGTTGAGATGTAAACAAAGTCATTTAAAATGGTTTGATGTGAAATGATAAATTGTAGAGAAACTTACCGACTCAGATTTCTTTACAGTGGTGGTGATAGGAACCAGAGGCGCAATGTCAACCACTCAAATATAGCGGTAAACCTAGTAAACCTACATTTATAAAAAAAATTACAATACAAAATTAGAATACAAAATTTTACCTTAAAAAACTATCGCATAGCATATATCTATCATATATATCAAATAAGCATATATCTATCTATATTTCATATATTAGCTTTCAGTGAAGTAGCTTTTAAAGACATTAAAAGCTTCAGATGTCTGGTTCCCATCACCACCACTGTGTATAATTCTGACTCAGCAAGTCTTTCTACAATGAAGCATATCACATTAAACCACTCTGAATGATTTTGTTTACATCTTAACTATTTCATTTTACGAAACTCTTGGGAAATTGGTGGCATTCCCCTTTAAAGCTTCGCAGAATCATGAACTAATAGGGCAATTTAATATTGCATCGTACTCTGCCTCTGATGTAATCAAGAAAGAAAGCTAATCATTTCTAGCATTGTCATTACACTAGTATGAGGAAGTGTCTGGAGAAGACAGAAGCCTAAATAGAGTTACTGGGAAGGGCAGTGACCTATGGAGAGTGGCCAGCCTTTTCCTGTGTTTGTTCCCACTGATATGCTATCTCTCAGCCACAATCAAATGCAGCTTGCACAGGCTTCTTTTTGTTGTTTTTTTTCTCGACTCAGTTGCCATGGACTGCCTTTGATGACACAAACTATTGCGGAAACAACGCTTCACTATAAAGACAGAGTTCTATCATTTCACATGTTGTGGTTAACTACCTGCATGCCCATTTTTGAGCTTTATGGTGATGCACAGCTGTGTGATTTTAATCGTATTCTCCTTTTAATTGCTTTGTTATTGAAGGTGACTAACATATTGTGGGTTTTTTTTTCACATTTCAGGACACAGATATGGTAAACTGTCGCAATCGCAGCCCGTCAGAACTGCACAGAGTGACTCACAGGCCTCAGATAATGGCTTGTTCAAATTCATTTATCATCATTTTAATCACCGCGCAAACAGTCAGACCTTTACAAAGGCAAGAGCTATTTAGCCACCGGTTACTTCTAAAATAAGATAAGCCAGATGCAGTCGCAAATTAAAGCAGCAGCAATTTGCCTTCCCATCTCGCCCGCATCGGATCCTGCCCCTTGTCTCCCTTGCCTCTCCCATTTTTTTGCAGGTGCCGAACGGCATTAATGAGAGCCGTCATCTCTCTCTCTGTTTGAAATTCAGCTCGAGCCGAGCCCCAGCCTGCCTCTCAGCTGATTTGCTCATCCATTATTAACGTGTAATGATTATGTTCCATACAACACTTTCAAAATGTCAGACAGGAGGGAAAGCATATTGCTAATATTTTTTAGTCCAAGTGGCCATTAATATGCATTTTGACGGCGTACAGTGCCTGTCTGTCTCAGAAACATAAAGTGGAATCTCCACTAAAAAGGGGAAAACTCATTACATCAGAAAAAGCACAGCGTTGGAAGACAAGCGGCAGATTTGTTTAGTGCCTGAACGGTGCTTTAAGCTGCTGCGAGCAAATAATGATATTTGCTGTTGAGCATCCTGCAGTGAAACGTTTTGGGGGGGTGGTGGGGGGGGATCAGAAACCAAATCTAGGTCAAGCACTGCACCACAGATATAATGGGTCCCGAATGTCATATAACACAAGCGTTTTTTTATTTGTTTTGATGGAGAGTTCAAAGCGCTGTTTGAATATTAATGTCCTCATACCCCTCCTCCCCACCACCATTTTTTTCCATTGGAAACATTTTAGTGAACCAAGATGTTTAACAAATTACACAAAAGCAAAACAGGACAATGAATTGTGGCAAGCGTTCTATTTTTGCCGCCATTAAAGCGCCATTGACGTTTAATTCGTTTATCGCGGGAGATGAAAAAGCATGAATCATGTCAGTGGGAATAATGTGAAGCAATAGAGTAATGAAGGCGCATTGTTCTTCTCCCTCTCCCTCTATTTGACATTGTAATTATCCCCAGTATGTAAACCATAGAGGCTTTGTTTTTCTTATTGAGCTGAGTTTGGGTTCTGGGTAAAGGGCTTGCTGCCAAGTGAACTGTAAAAGCGTTCCAGCTAAATGACGAGAAAATTTAACTCAGAGGCCTAATGCGAGACTAAATCTCTTTCAGTACCCTTGAAGAGGACAATATTAACATACTAGAAAATGAACTTGAAGTGCATCACTCTCTTTATACAGTGCTGTGCTTACGTCAGAGACTGCCCTACGTTTATTTCATTCCCAGTCAAGAGTTAATTTTTCAGGAGATATTCCTGTAGAGATTAGATATAAGGTAATCCACTTGCATTAGGAAGGGGAAAACTGGGTTTATTAACACTTATTGAAACATACAAAGAAATTGTGACTTCTAACAACCATGCACCACCTGGTAGACCATCAGAGAAACAGTACTCAAAGCTTTCATCTATGAGAGAGAGGAGAAAGCTCCTATTTTCTTAAGATCTGACACAATCCACAGGTGTTTCTGTCCATCTTTCACTCTGAGAAGAAACCTCAACACTGTGGGTCTGAAAGGTTGTGTAGCTGTGAAGTAGCCTTTACTGAGTAAAGGAAATAAAACAGCAAATAAAGAAGCTGTTGTGATAAATAATGTCACAGTACGATTTTCTGAGCATATTGTGGACATTGCTAGTACTTGAAGAACACTGACTAACTATATTTCATTACAAGTGCGCATAATTGGGCCTGATTAATTAGTTAATTAATTAGTGCGGTGCCGTTTGTGTGACATTGAATAAAAATCATTGTAGTTGTTTATTATTATTTTATTATTATAGTATTTTTATCTGTGCACTACATTGTTCTTTTTTGTCCGTTCCAACTTATTAAATCTCAGAAAAACGATATATTGTGAGGCTAGCCTTATTGAAAGTGTTTGGTATGACCTGTGTCCTGAGAAGCAAAAAGTGCAACCAGCTTCTAAGACTGAAAAGAATAGAAGCTGCAATAAAGAACTTGTGGACTGTATAAGCTGTTAATGACATTATTGAAAATGTGATTACTTACGTTAAATGTGATTAATTATGTTTAATCAGCTGTTTTCTAGAGAGGCATACAGGCTAAAGATTGCAAAGAAAGTAGGCCTAGGCTGAAGGTTGCCTACAGTCCTCACTTGGGTGGCGATGTAATCAATAATACTGATTTTTCAAATTGAGATAATGTAGTAAATGATCTTGAAGTGCATTATATTTCATTTCTAAATAGCAGGTCATGAGGACATGCGGTGTTGCTGACATGAAACTATCGCATAGCATATTCTATATTCTTTTGTTTTGTGTGCTGTTACAGAGAAGCATCGAGGTGGCTAATTCAAGTGATTTTGCTGCTCCCTTGGAGGAGGGTATGCCATCTGAAGTGTACTTCCGCTACACGGCTTCCTCCCCTGCCACACCACTCGCACAGGTAAAAGCTTTGTTTGTAGTTCTCTTTTGAGGTTGAGGTCAAGATTGTTTACGCAAGCTATAGTAAAGAAGCCCAAGGACATCACTTCCATGAACAAGATGCATTACATCAACGCAGATTGCTAACTGAAAGAAGATTGTGTTGATGCAATACATTTTGGGCACATGCTATTTACACTAGATACAAATAGAATGATGATTTAACTATTTACACTTAGCGGTCAAAGTAACATCATGCTATTTTACACTTACACGATTACATGCTATTTTATACTATTTCTTGATACTGATTCAGCAGTATTAGCCTTTATTTCAGCAATAAAATTATTCTGACTTTTTTCCAAGCTGTACTTGAGGTCGTTAACAATTGTTACTGTAAGATTGATATTTCATCATATATTTATTTAATACTTATATGGAGTGAATGGAAAATTGGACTCACTTATGTTCTAGTTCATATTAAATAATCTTTCTCTCTAATTTCCCCTTAAGCACAGCTGCTCCCTCTTTTTGTTCGTGGAAGGTATGAAAATTACAGCAAAACTAGGCTTTTGGTGTGCTAGACAGATTTACCAGGCAGAGTACGCTGAATGTAAAAAGACACTGCCTATAGTTTTATTCATGTAGGATTGAAGATCTAGCAAATTCACTGCCTTCGCTGGTTCAAACTGTCATGTTGTTCTTGTACTACATAGTTCACTTTTTTGGGCTTGTGGTATGAGCAGTTAGTGAGAAAATGTGTTTCACATGTGAATCATTTTGAAGAGGAAACATGAATCTGGTTCCAAGTATGAGTAACATTTTTCCTTTTTGCTCACACCGTGCCGCAATCCAGCTGGAAAACACAGGCTGTGCTCCGTAGTGAGGGAGGAGAGTGACTGTACTTCACAAACAATCCACTCTCTGTCCTCAGGCCAAAATTCCACTCAAAATCCCCTTTATTTCTCTCAAAAGCACTCTTTGATATGTGAAAGCGTGTTTTTCTATGTAAAACTGTTGAGTTAATACACCGAATACACATGCTGATTTCTCCCAAAATAAAAAGGTTATAGATGCACACCTGAAGCTCTACTGTTCTTTGACATGCAGTTCAAAGAAAGGCCACATGTAGGTGCTCTGCAACCTTTAATAGCTTCCTTTTAAGGCGTTTCAGCAGAACTCATGTTTGTTAGTGTTGTATTGTCCTGCAATATTGCCATGGGTGTAGTTTTTATGGTTATTCAAAACCTTATCTCATCTGTTGGACAGTTACGCCACAGCTGTGCGTATGACACAAGCATTGTGTTCTTAGTAGGAGCAGTTAATACAGTCATATGCAAAAGTTTGGGTGTCAAATTACATGTTTTGGTGGTTTTCAGAGTGAAAATAAGTTACCACATCCTCTACGGACAACATTTTAATGTACAATTACTGTTTATTTGCTGAATTTAACATATTGGGAAAAAATACAATATAAAATGTATTTTTTCAAAAGTTTGAACAATGAATCACACATTTTTCTTTCAAATTTTAGTGCACAAGTTATATATTTAGTTGTACTGGAAGCAAATAAAACATAAAATATAAACTTTTGCACAGACATTTTATTTTGTATTTTGTAAAATATTTATATATAAAAAAAGTGTGTAATCATTGTTTTCAATAATTCAATAAAATTTAAAATGCTTATAATATATTCATCCTGTGTGACTTGACATGTTTATATGATAACAAATAATAGAAAATTTAAATATATAGATAAACAGAGTTTTTTTTTTTTTATTGGTTCATATTGAATTTACAGTCTTCTAATGTGGTTGAACTCCTTCAGGGGCTGGACGAATGTCTACAGAAGAATGAGGAGGAACCTGGTGAAAGTCAACAGGCAGAGGGCCACGAAAGCCTGGAAGGCTTCAGCATGGAAGATGTGCGAGAAGTTCTTGGGGAAATGACCAAAGAGATGCTAACAAAGCTGCAGGTACCATTTACTGCAACAAGAAGCCCTCCCAAAAACATGTGCAGCTGCCCTTTTGCTGTCAGTCAGCACCCATAACAAAACCATCAGATAAAAAATGAAATAAAATGCACCATCAGATATAAGGGGAAAAGCCCAAAGGGAAGCTGCAGGCTGTAGACAGGAGTGATAATATTGAGAATATCACATCTGAGCTCATACCTTCTTACAGATCTCCTCCCACCAAGTGATTATGCCCTCCAAAAAAAGAAAAAGAAAAATGTAATATTAAAACTTGAGTAATGATCCCCAGCTTAATATCATTGGTATTCTCTGCATAACATGGACTACCTTAGACAGCTCCTGGCAGATATTCTGATTAATTTTATGGTAGACTTAAGGTGGAATCGAATTACTGGGTGTGCTGCGGTTGCAGAAAACAGCCCCAGCAGATTGCTCAATTGTGTCATCGCTATCGTAAGTTTTACACAGGCCAAACATTTTGGCTTCAGACAGTATCACGTAGATAAAAAAAGCCCACACATTTTCATCTTGTTGGGATTAATCATTGTAGAGTCACTCGAGTCCACTGCCCTAGTACATGGAGACCTTCTCTATCCCTCTGATAATTTATATCATATGGTAGGCAGTCTGTAAATCCAGAGGCTGTTTGTACGGGGCTCGGGTTTGAATGATCTGCTGTAAGATTGGTGCTATTTCTATCAATTCTCCCGAGCTTATCCCACTTTAATGTCTGTGGAAGGTCAATTACATATTTCACTCAAAGCCAAATATAGCCTTGTGTGAAACGACTGGTAAGAAATCTCGCCCCGCTCAAGCAGATCACATTGACTGCCTGTTGTTTGTTTTCACTTTTTCTCCCCCGTTCTCATTTGTGGCTTGTCTCTTGGGAATGTGTTAAGTCATTGAGTAGTATGCTTAGTATCACAGTCTGCTCCAGCTAGCTTGATGCGTTTGATTTTGATGTGGATTAAGTCTGCCACTAGAACTGCTCTTCTTTCTCTGTCGAGCGAAGCTTAATAACATCCGTTTTTTTCCCTTTTTCTCCCTCTCTGGGATATTTTAGTTGCGAAAGTTCCCAGGAGTGTCATAACTCATGTGGATCTCATCATACCTTATATGGTAGAAACTCTGAAAAAGGCAAATGCTGGAAATGCTGTGGGTGACTTCCCAACCATATTGTTACCATTCCAGATGTGCACTGGAGGCATTTAATAGGCCTGTGTGTACAATGAGAATCAGGGAAGGGAAACTTTACTCCCCCCTATTAAAGATTAGCCCTACTTTTTAACATTTCCTTGTGGTAGTCTTGTTTGTAAACTGTGTGTACAAGTATGCAGAGAGACCTGTTTTCAACTGTTGAATCAGTGACCTCAGTGTTCATGACTGCATGTCACCAAAGTGTTTATCCCATGACTTCAGGCTGCTGGTTTTAGGTGGTTTATGAATGTATACATTTTGTGTGTCCCACAGGCAGACTTCACAGAGAAGTTGCGACTTCAAGAGGAGACCTACACCTCCAGGTTAGACAGCCTTAAGAGTGTGGCGTCCAAATAACGCAGCCGAAGACCTGGAGGGAGATTTTCTACTGTTTTTTATTATTTTGTTTATAAACTACATTGCATAACCAACCATCCTAAAGCAACAGAATGTAGCATTACGAAAGAGCTGAACGCACTTACATTCCTGAGAACTTACACAATATAAAGGGGTGTGACCTTGATTTACCGACAATGTTTTTTTTTCCTCTCCGTTACATAGGTTTGAATTATGTCAGTCTCTCCAGTGTTGACAGTATATGCGAATTCATTTCTTTCAGAAAGCCGTTCATTCTTAAATAGCCAAGGTAAAGCACAGGGCTAGAATATCCTTTAACAGCTAGCGAGCGAACGGAATATCTAATTGAGTGGTTTGTATAATGTTTGTGTGGAGCTTTTCCCACAAGTCATTAGCTGTCTGAAAGCAGCCCAGCACTATGGCAACGCAATGTAACTCACAGGCTAAATAGCTGAGTTGCCATATAAAGTGATGTATTATTAAAGCTGAATAGTGGCTTTTCCACAGCATTTGAAAAAAAAGCCACTTACAACTATAAATATACACTGCAGTGTATCTCAAAAAACGCTGATAAACTGTTTTCTCCCTTTCTCTTCGCTGCCCCTGTTTCTCTCCACCTTCTCAATGCAGTTCTTTCCCATTTTCAAGCATGTCCATTTGTCCAGTCCATATGCTCACTGGTTAGCATCAAACACGTTACTGAAATCATATCATTATCCATGCTGACAGGGGAGCTATCTAATTGTGTCTTATTATATGCAGTACTGTACTAGTCAGAGACGACCATTTAGTAAAAACAGCCATTGAGTACAAGCTAATCATTCTTCAGGTGATATTTGTGGGTAAATTAGATATAAGATAATCCACTTTCATAAGGAAGAGGAAAAATTGATTAAAAGGTACAGATAAATTGGGACTCGTAACAACCATGCAAGACCCTGTAGACCACCAAACTGTCACCATCAGATAAACAGTACTTAAAGCTTTCATCTTAGAGAGAGAGGAGAACATCAAGCGCCACTCTTGCTTCAGATCTGAGAAAAATCACAGGAGTCCATCATTCTTCAGTGAGAAGACAACAAATAGACAAAAGAGGAGAAAATTTGCAGACTAAACAAAGAAGCTGCTGATGTTCTCAGAATAATGAACTAGCCACCCCAAGTCCAGACCTCAATATCATTAAATGTATTTGGGATTGAGCAGAAAATGCAACTTTAAGACTGAACTTTGAAAAAAAACGGCAAATTTCTTTGAAAAACTAAAAATCTCTCAAAACGAATTAAATCCAATAAAGGCAAGAAGCGAACACCTTAATATTGAATATGTTCATTTTATATTTTGGTTGAGGCTCGTGTGTAATTTTCTGTTAAATCTATAGTTTTTTTCCTGACATAAAAGAAATAATAGAATGTAGGGTGGTCTCTGACTTTTGCAGAGTGTTATACATTTAAACAGACTGAAATTTTTGGAGCGCATAAACTTTTAAGTACATGTTCAGTTTACACAATATCAAATTACATTAATATTTGCCCATGTCTGTGCCACACTCCTTTTTTCATGCCTTGTTGATTTAGTTCTTCATTAGCCTGCGGGCTTTTTTGTTGACACAGTGGGGTAAACTGAGATACTTAGCCTGAATTCCTGAAGAACATGTTCGTACAGCTTGTTGTTTGGAATCATTCTTTTTGTTCCCAAACTGATTGATAGAGTCGTTACTGAGCCAAGAGCTCAGTGACCTTTTTCCTCAGTTCATTGAGCAGATGAAAAACAGTCCCTCTGCTGGCCACGGAACCACATTACAGATAGATCACCAACCTGCACAGATGAGGCCAGGGACAGCTTTCACCTGCCATTAACGTTGATAAAAGAATATCGTAGGGAGGGTTCAGGCTTTAGTCTTATGAGCAGCGAATTGCTGATGAAACAAGCTGCGCTGGCGGTCCTCAGGGAGCCCCTTTCAGTCCAGTGCATAATCTCAGGCTTTAATGGTCTGTTCTTTCGCGGCAGCGTAAACATGCGCTTTATGTGATGTGTTTACATTTCTCTCTTCGGCAGTTGGTATGGTCCTGCCTCTCGTCAGCGCCGGTGGGGATTTGCTCCATGGTCGGATGTCAAATAGAAAGCTTTGTTTATAATATGTTTGCTGTAAAAGAGCCATATGTGGTTAACCATCAAGCTAATTAAAAATAGATGGCATCACCGTTTAAGTATTGTGTATCTTACATCTTACTCATGGATTCCTAAATGTTATATGACACTAAGATTTGTGTTTTTAATCAAGACAAGAAATCCACATGAATCACAGGCTGACAGCGAAGACTTCCGTGTAAAACATTTCACAACCACCTCACTTCAGACAACAAAGGCTTTGTTACTGACGCTAGCCTATGAAGGAGTAGAACATGGTGGAAAATAACAAGGTCAGATTGGCTGAGAGCTGCGCACTGTTTATGTAGACTGGATCTAACTGTATAGGTAATGCACTGACTTTGGGATTCAGACTGTATCTTTAAAACTGCACTAAGGATTAAACTCTAACTATATTTGATTATCTTACAGTTTACTTAATGTTAATGTATATTTTATGTTAATTGCATTTTATGTGATTCCCTTGACAATTTTTGTGGTTTTATGCACCAAAAAGAATTTGTTATTTTACATTATCCAACTTCACATTTATTTATATTTTCCAGCTTCTCTTTATCCTTTAGAATTGAACAAGATGTTTTTGTTACTGTGCCTTTAAGACTGGCATATGTAAATGACCTTTGTTCTGATTGGCTGCCCTGTATTGCCCCTTGTTCAAAAAGCAGTCTATGCTGAAACAGTCCTTACAACTTCAGTGTGAATGGGTGGTGCTAAACTGCTGTAGGCTGCGGTTTTTTGTATCATCACACAAATCTCAACAAGGGTTATTTTTGTAGCTTAGTTTCCGTATATGGCCTGGAGAGAATGATACATGATGAAAAATGATATCTTTGCAAGTGAAAACATCATAAATCTAGTCAATATATCTAGTATTTTTCATATGAGATTTTTGTAGAACTTATTTGTAGACTTTTTTACAAGGTTTTAAGTAATTTAGTTTATGTTAGTGCCTTAGTCTACTGGCAGATAATTAATTGTTTTAAACATTATTTCTCGAAACAAGTAAAATGATCTGCCAATGAAATAAGGCACTATCACTAGATAAAGTTACTCAAAATAAGTAAATATCGCAAAGAAATAGGATAATCAAAAATCTGATAATGAGGACAATATGAGATATATTGACTACATTTGAGATGTTTTACACTTGCTAAGATAATTATTTTGCAGTGTCAATACATTATACATCACTTAAAAATTTGGTTTTACATAATATGGGCCTTATTAAGGCCTCCTTGTTCATCTTTTTTTTCTTTGAAAGACGTTGTATTATTTGATATTGTGCAGTTTCATTCACTTTTTAAATTAATTTTATAATTTTTAACAACTCTAAGAAATGAAAAGCAAATACCTCAATTACTAATCACTAGACATAGCCCTACACAACAGTTGTGTGTGAAAAATGCATCAGCTTTTGAATTCTAACTGTTTCCTCATATCCGCAGCCGTTTGTTCCTGCCTTCCTCCCCCCCTCCACTCTGATCTCATTCAGAATGCTATTAATTGCCATCAAATGCCTTTGTGAATACTTCCTCCTGCACACGAGCGCATATCTGCGCTGCCCTGTGAAACCTAATCTACTCGTTTCTCAAGTGCCCTGGCTGCGACAGGGCTCAGGTTTGCCTACGGAATAAGACCTTGTTAAAAATGAGATGGCTGCTGAGGGACAGGCTGTGTACAAAAACGTGCACTATTAACACAGAAACCCCCTCCTTCTTTCCCTGCAGCCTTCAACCATGATACTATTCTTAATGTCCGACTAGGGGGATGGTCAGATGAGAAAAGAACATTTTATCGAGTTTACTTGTTCTTTCTTAAGCAAATGAGTTTATTACTTCTCAAAATAATTCCAAATGTGAGTCACAAGGCCTTTTGTGGTCGTTGAATGGCTGCAGTCATCTGCCAGCCTCAACACAATGAAGTCCAGAATACTGAATTGTGATCATTTTCCTTCCTGTTGATGAAAGTAATTTCTCCATAGGCTTGGGCAAACAATAGGGGAAAACATAATAAAAGTTTTTTGAGACTGCCTGTTGCAAGCGTGAGCAGCATCCAACCCAAAGTGTGACAAAGTGTACACTCTTAAAGGGACACTTGGCCAAAATGAAAAATCACCATCACTTCGTCTGTTCTAAACATGCTTACTTGCGTTCTACAGCGGTGTCTAGAGCAAAACTGTTTGATTTAAAAACTAGGAAAACCTTCTGATGATGTATCTTGAAGGTGGGAGGAACTTTTCTAAATGGTTTGGGGTGGATTTTGGGGGATGGGTGTCTTGAAAACAATGTTAGCATAGTACAACAAACTCTTTCTTTAATAAAATAATTCATATTTTTTGCCCCCATGATGTGGGTTCTTTAATGAAATTTTTAAAATGGGTTTTATGTAGCACCAAAAAAGGGTACAAATATTGGTGCTTTGTAATAATAGAACCCTTTTTTGCTAAGAGTGTAACACTGAACATGTTTAAAGGATAGGCAGGGACAGAAAAGGTCTGAAAGTCCAACGTTGGACTCGGGTACTGGGAACAGATGTTAGATTTTCCTTGAGCGGAGGAAAGTTACAGGGGTAATCCAGAATGCTTGACTGGTAGCCTTTTGGCTTTCCACACATTCCTAAATTACCATGTAATTTAAGACCTTGTTTTCATTGCAAAATGCTGGAGAGCCGCAGTCAATTTGCTGCAGTTACAGTCGTGTTACAGAACACAAAAATAATGTTTGCATTGTTGCAGGAAACCGGGACAAAATTGCCATTCCGCAGCGGTAATAAAAAGCGGAGACAGGCACACTCCGACATATAAACCCTTTTTTAAAGTGAACAGGTTTAGTGTTTTGCCTCGATTATTGCCTCGGTTTCATATCCATGCAAATGCGGCAGATCACTTTGCTTTGTTTCCATGGAACTCATGTCATTTCAGCTGCTGCTCCCCCATACCATTTACATAAAAATAGTTCCTCTTTAGAAACTTGACACTTTAACACCAACAATATGCTTCCTCTGTTTTTCATCTGAATTTGGCAGACCTGTAGTTCAGCCACATTATCTGTTACTGTGGTTTATATTCATCTCCAGTCCTGTTAGGCACCATTAATGTTGCTTACATAATGAAATTCATTGAGTGTATAAATCATTAATTCCTCGCTGTACAAGCCGCAGTAAAGCAGCTCCACCCCGGGCCTTCATCTGTCCTTTTTCTTTTTTTTCATCCATTCGTTTGGTCGCTTTAAATGTTTTAGTGCTGGCCTTATCTGGAAAAATACTCTGTGTTCATATTTACCCCTGCTGCTTTTAAACAGAGAAGAAAGAAGGAGAGCAAGAGAGACAAAACAGACGTGGAGGTCTGCTTTTATTGACATTCTAGTCCTTTTCAATTTATATCAAAAGAATGCAGTCTGTCTCCAGTGAGAAATGTGCTCGTACATGTGAAAAATGCCGTATCCCCTTGTTTCTGGTTGCCGCTCCGCTGTGTAAATGATTTGATACACCTCTGTTTGCTCGTATATCAGCAAGAAGGTCAGAGTTTTTGAGGTCAGGATCTTGCGAGCAGCACTTGGTTACGTTGATAAGATAAAATCGCCCATTGTGTTTGAAAGCATCCAATAGATGTGTTACATTTATTCGAGCCAAGAGTGTACACTGAGCACTTTATGTTTCCTGTCAATAAACCAGAAGCCCATAAAAAGGTCATTACAGCTGAAGCCCGACAGTAACTTTCTTTGTCCCGTGATTGGAAACACAAAGCGCCGGTGCTTTGTGATTCACAATGCGTAGCGTGGCAAACATTTACTTATTACACTCAGTGTGTAGAAAGGAAATGACATTTAGGTGTTAATATCAACTTGCCGGTGTGCAGAAACCTAGTGGATACATGGGGCGGGCTTTTGTAGTTTGCCTCTGATCAATGGAAGGAGCAGTCTTACGTTGACACTGCTGCATGTCAGCAGAGACTTTGGAGAATGCTCAAAGCCTTTTCATCTACATTGTGAAATGTGTGCG